GCTGCGGAAGGCGGCTGGGTGGTGAGCAGGGGATGGATGGATGCTATGGGAGAATGAGCTTCAGCCTCAGACAGACCAGGGTTCAAATTCAGCTCAGCCCCTGGGACATGTCAAACCCTCTGAGCTTGGCAGGCTCTTTGTTAACTTCCTAAACCTGTGCAATGGTTGTCCCAGGCCACGCTTCAGCTGCTGCCTGCTTGCCAGCCAGCCTCCCTCCACCCTCCCCAGATGCTTCCACAGGTACACTTAAGACTCTCATTAAAAAAAATAATAAAATAAAAAATAATTTAAAAAAAATTTTTTTAAAAACCTATTGGCAGAGGTCCCTGCAAAGTGAGGCAATAGTTCTGAGTTAAGAGAGGTGAGGCTGAATCACCACAGGGGGTGGAGGCACCGACACTGACAGTGGACAAACGCTCAGAGTAGGAGTGTGGGGTCAATTTGGTGGCTGTGGCGCCACCTCTTCAAGTCAGGTTTGCTGCCCTCTGAAGCAACTCCCATATGGACTCACCTAATATTTCCTGAGCACCTACCATGTATCACGAAGTTTACACCTGACATAAGAGCAGGTTACACAACCCCCACAACAGCCTGTGAGATAGATATTCTCTTTATCTGATAGAAGAGCCAATGGGACTCAAAGGGGTTGAAGGAAGTACTCCAATATCACATATCTAGCATTCACTTTAACTCAGACTACAGAGAGTTTTCACAGCTTATAAAAACTGGGAGGTCGGGGGCCAGCCAAGTGGCTCAGTTGGTCTCAGTTGGTTAAGAGCTCGCTCAAGAGTTTGAGCTCTGAGCAACAGCAGTTCGATGCCCAGCCCGAGCTGAGCTGCCTCTGAGCTGCCAACAGGTGGCAGGATGGCTCAGCTAAAAAAAAAAAAAAATAGAACATCTGAAAAAATAGAAAAGAAAAAGTTGCCCAGAGACAACCCCTATTGGCATTTTGCAGTTATTTTCTGTGCATTATTTAGAGTGATTTATTTAGTGTAATTTTATCGTACAATTTTGCATCTAGGCTTTTTTTTTTTTTTAATTGAGGAACAGTGTGTTTTTCTAGGACCCATCAGCTCCCAGTCAAGTAGTTGTTTCAACATCCAGGCTTTTGATGTCACAAACATTTATCTGCATTAATTTGTTTTTCACAAAAGCCACTTTTGATGATTATATAAATATTTCATCAAGTTAATATACCATCATTTACTTAACTATTCTCCCAAGGTTAGACATGTGGGTTATTTTATATTCTTTTCAATATTTGACATTTCAATATGGAAATATTATATATTTCAATATTCTAAATAATGCTGCATGGAATATGTTTATGCTTGTGTTTCATTATTTCCCAGGATAGATCCCCAAACATGAGATTTCTAGGTCAAGGTTTAAGCCCATTTTCAGGTTCTTTATGGACCTTTGAAGGCCCGGTGTCTTATTCCAACCCAATCACCAAACTCCTCTGTGGTCCAAGGCAAATAACCTCTCTGAGCCACAGGTCCTGCAAAAGAAATGGACAGGCTAACCCAACACCAGGAGAAATATTAGTGAAGAATAACCAGTTACAGGACTTGAACTACAGGAAGCTACATAGACAAAAGCAACTAAAATGTGGACCATACCACCTGACATACTTTGTGACCACACCTTACCCTACACATTGGTCTCTCACAAACTCATTTCCATGCTGACTTAGCATAAATGGCCTCTGCAGAAAGTCCATGATTTGCTCCAGATGGAAAGGATTAGTAACAGATCCCCTCAAAGTAGAAGGAAGGTCAACAGGTGACAGACCAGAAAGGCCAGGCACTGTCTTCCCTCTTACCCCATCTCCTAAGGGAATGCAGGTTCCCTTAGGAACCTCAAGCTCCTGGAAGAGGGGTAGGCTGTCCACACAATGACTGCAAGCAGGTGATCCCACAAGCCCCCAACACAGCTTGTGGGCCCCAGGGCGATCTCCTAACCTACGATGGCCAAGCAGATACTTTCCCCAGAAATTTGGAGTTGGACTTGAGACATTGTGGTGTTCTGAGCAACGGGGCCACAGGAAGCAGGAAGGGAGCCAGCACTGCGGCCAACCAAAGTCATGGTCAAACTGAGATGCTGCCCATAAGCCCAGGACACTGGTTTGTGGGGAGGAGTGGAACAATAAGGTAGGTATTCAGAAAGAGCTGGAAACATCTCTCACACTTACTCCCTGTCCCAGCTATAGCTCACTTCCTGTCCTGGGGAGCCCGTGAGTCTGCTGGATGTGGCTTTACGGTCACCACCTTTACCATCGCCAGCCTTCAGGGGGTTCTGTTTCTGGAACCAAGCGCACCCGAGTGCTCCACTGCCAGACCAACTGGGAGAGTTAACAGAGATGTTTTAGAATGCCAGATGCTCAGGTCAATAGATTGGGGGCAGAAGTGGGGCAAAGATGAATAGATAAAGAAAATGTGGTATATATACATATACTTCATAATATCACTCATGAGAAAGAAGGAAACCCTGCCATTTGTGACAACATGGATGGCTCTTGAGGGCATTATAAGTGAAATAAGCCAAACAGAGAAAGACAAATACTGCATGGTATCACTTATATGTGGAATCTTAAGGGCTAGGGGCTAGGGGCAACAGGGAGAGGTTGGCAAAAGGGCACAAACTTTCAGCTATAAGATGTAGAACATGGTGGCTATGATTGATAACACTGTATTATATAATTAAAGTTTGCAAAGACAGTAAAATTTAAATGTTCTCACACAAAAAAAGAGATAAACATGTGAAGTGATGGATGTGTTAATTAACTAGACGGGGGGGGGGGTTCTTTCACAATGTATACATACATCAAATTATGACAAAGTACATTTTAAATAACTTACAGTTTTATCTGTCAATTATACCTTAACAAAGCTAAAATTTTAAATAAATAAAATGTAAATAAAATAAAATAAATGAGGAAGGTCAAAGCAGATGCCCAGAGTTTGGCAACTGTCAGTAGGCACATGCTCTGAACCCTGGATGATGGACGGCAGTGGGTCGGCATGGCTGGGGCAAAGGGAACCCGAGAAGGCAGATAACGCTGGGAGAGTGAGAGCTACAGCTTTAAAGGCTAAGAGGGCTTAGGAGAAGGAAAAAGAAAAGTACAGAAGGAGACCTAGAGAAGAGACGTCCGGGATGAATATTTGCAGAGAAGCAGAGCTGTGATAACCACTGCAAGAGCCAGCTGAGAGAAGGATGAGAGAGAACACAGGAGCTGCTGGGGGCAAGTCAGGGCAAGGCCAGTTGCCTGCACGTGACCGATAGCAGCCTGGGTCTCGTGGGCCAACATGCGGACCACACATTAAAGAGATGTCAGGGTGGATGCATCTGCTGGGCTGGATCTTGTGCCTTCAGCAGTCCATAAAGAAAAACACCCACTGTATGCACCTGGCACTAGGTTCCAGGTGGACTGAAGGAAAAGACCCAGCTCCAGCCCAAGGGTGGCAAAGATCAGCAGAAGGGATCACCACTGAGGGACACTACGGAGAGGTCTTCAGGCCAGGAGGAGGAAGAAACAGGAAGTGACCAGAGAGACCTTTGAACACACTAATAGTGAGTGCTCCGTCTTAAAGACAACAACTTGAATGCAGGATCATTGGCAAATTCTGTAGCTGCCTAGAGACCATTGGGCTTGTCAAGAGGTCTGGAATCATGACAAAGAGGGAAAGAATGGACCCTCAGCACTCAGGTATCCCCAGGGTGCCATCTCTCACCCAGCCCCTACCCCTCGGTCTTATCTGCATCACTTATTGCTTCCTCCCCCATGGAAGGACTGTCCTATAAGCTTCTTCAGGGGAGAACCGGCAGCCCCAGCATCTCACACAGTACTTTACTGGACATGCAGTGGTTTTTCAGGTTGTTAATAACAACTAAGAGGGCTTAAAAAGCTCCCAACTCAAAATTCAAAAACCTGATGACCCACCAAAAATCTAACAAGAGCATGTAATTGTTTTAGGTACTTACAGAAAGCAAAGCTAGGAAAAACACAATTATTAGAAAGCAGTCAGTGCTCAAAAGTAAGAAAATGTTTCTAACATACAGATCTGTCCCATAATGGAATTGATTGCCAGGGAGGTGGTGAACTCCTTATCACTAGATGTAGCGAAGCGAAGACCGAAGGACCATTCGCTAAGGAGCTGTGGAAGAGAATTCTTAGATAATCCCTAAGGTCCTGTCCAACCCAAGCTCTCACGGAATGAATGACATGATAGAACAATTACAGACACATTTGGCAAATCGTGGAGCAGCAGAATTATCCACTACCCTTAAAACTTGAAAGAAGTATGTTTACAGCAAATAAAAATATGACATTACCCTGCAATTAATAAGCTTACAGACCTCATTACCCCAAGCTGAAAATAGAAATAGGTCCAAGAAGGGCTTGGTTGAATGAATGAAAATTCGACCCAAGGCAGGTTACCAAAGGCAGTGAGAGATGCATAGGACTGGTCCTCCCTATAAAGCAGCGGTTCTCAACCTGTGGGTCGTGACCCTTTTGGGGGTCGAACGATCCTCACAGGAGTCACCGGGTACTCATATGTGGGCGTATCTGCATGTGGGCCTGGAGATGGATAGAGGAGCGGTGTCTCGGTTCCTAAGACCATCGAAAATATGTGTTTTCCGATGGTCTTAGGCGACCCCTGTGAAAGGTTGAGAACCGCTGCTATAAAGTCAGGCCTCAAGGTCGATAAGCGTGTCCACCCTCAGAACATCTCTGCACTCACACTGTCAGAGACAGCACATGGAACTGGGTGAACTGTGGATTCTGTCGAATGCTTTGCCATAGAGAAATACTCCCACACAGCACCTTACTACGGAAGGGTCCTGGCCTTCGATCCCCTGAGCAATTCCTGCCAGGTGAAGAGCATGGGGGTCATGGTCACAGGAAAGTCCAGACCCCGCTGACCAAACACTGTGCCTCCCACAGGGTGAGGGATAAGGGTGCAGAGAGAGCTTTCTGGCCCCGGGGTGTCACTCACAGCCTCGACAGAGCCTGGTTATTCTGGAACAGCAGTTCTGGTACCATGTGCAGCTGGTTCCGGTTCAGTCGTCTGCAAAAGGGAAGAGAGAACGAGTTGGAAATTGCCTCGCTGTCCAGGAAATTCAAAGGACTTTTCAGAAAGCACTGGATTCACTCGGAGGGCCCAGGGCTCAAATCCTCACAGGGTCACTAAGTAACCCCAGGAAAATCACCTTCTCTGGGCCTCGGTTTCTTCGTTTATAAAGTGGGGGTTCTACCATCCAACACTTGGGCAGATTGTCTGTGAAAGCCCCTCGCCAAGGACCTGACATGTGGAGGGGCGGTCAATAAATAAAAGATCTTTCCTCCCGTTATTTCCTCCCATGTTCGTCATCACTTTACATTTGCAAGGCTCTTTGTAATTTATAAGGCACTGATTCAAGTATTATCTCAGTTTGTGAGCTGGATATCTGACTACATCTGAAATGTGAGATATATCCTAATGGGGTCGGGCTGGCCACTGGTTCTGAGTCTTTATTGCTTTCATCCACATTTGGCCCAATAGCGACTTATCTTTTATTGTCTGCTTTATTTCAAAATGAAAACAGCTTTATTGATTTTTTCATTATTTATGAAAATGCATGCGTAATTTTTTTTTAAGCCTCAAACAATAGAAGAAAAAGTATTTGGCCACCTGCATTTTTCTGACTCAACAATTTGTGAGTGTCTTTACTTGCCAGACAATAAAGAGCGACTCCTTTATTTTTAGGGACTGAATAGTATGTTCATCATTCTTAATTCCTTTATTGGTGAACAGACAACTTTTCGGTATTATAAACACAGGCAGGAGTGGGAATTCTGGTTCTGGGATGTGGCCTGGTGAGAAGACATAACACAGAAAGAACCAGGACTTATCCTAAGAAGTTTAACCAGACTCATCTTGCCACCTTAGGCAACTTATTCTCTTTTTTTTTCAATTACAGTTGATACTCAATATTCTATTAGTTTCAGGTGTACAGCATAGTAACTAGACATGTATATAACTTCCAAAGTGATCATCCCGATAAGTCTAGTACCCGCCTGACACCATACGTTGTTATAACAATATTATTGACTATATTCCCTATGCTTCACTTTACATCCCTGCGACTATTAGGCAGCTAATCCTCTAACTCTAGGATTTAGAGTTAGAGTGTGTGACACCTAAACTATGGAACCTTGTACTCACACTGTGGTCTGTTGGACCACCTGCAGGGGCATCACCTGGGAATTGGTAAGAGCTGCAACATCTCAGGCTCTATCCCAGACCTGTTGAATCAGAATCTACATTTCAACAAGATCCCCAAGTAATCTGTGTGTGCATCAAAGTTGGAGAAGCACTGGTGTAAAATGCAGCCCCTGCACTCTGGTCTACACAGCACAGTATGAGTTTCACACAACCATCTCCTGTAACAGTTCTAAACAACAATAAACCAAATTCGCAAAGCCTTCTTTTGCTGGGAGGGAGGAAGAAACGTAACTCTACCTGGCCAGCCGTAACTGTCTGTGGTTACCTCATAGGAGGCCATCCCTTATCAGCTATGTGAGACAGGTACAATTTTCCAGCAACATACAGACAATTAGAACCACAACTTTAGACCAGCCGGAAGAAGTGTACTTTAAAGGGCCAGCTCCTAGGGAAACACATCACTACCTTGGAAAAAAAAAAGGGGGACCACCAAGCAGAATCCTTAAAGCAACAGGAGTAGATATCAAATGGCTCCAAGTTCCTTAACCTCATACAATAAATTAATCCTGTATTTACACTGCCTGGTAGGCATTGGTTTTTGTTTTGTTTCCCCCAAGACTTTCTCATTTTTCCAGCTTCGATTTCTGAAAAACACTTAAGAAGAAAAGGGATTCAATAGCTAGTTTAAAGTATAAAATCAAAGGAGGGGCTCAGCATGGTGAGGGGCCTGTAAGCCATTAAGAATAACAATAGCAATAGTGGCTACCAGTCCTTAGAAGCCTTCACTATGTGCCAGGCATGGGGACAAATGTCTCATAGGCATTACCTCACCATCGGAGGGAAAGCGGGTTTCTTTCTCTTGAGTAAGACAAGGCCTTACATTCAGGCACATACCCTCCTGTCTCTTTCTTGCAATAACCCCTTGGGGAAGGTTTCACCACCACCATCACGCCACATAGCTTGGCTCTTAGTAGGTGCTCAGGATATATTTGTTGACTCTGTTGCGTTGTCTATTTGATAACTGAGGGAAGTAGGATATCCAGAGGTGAGTAATTCACCCAAGTCACCTCTGGGGGGTAGAGATGGGGTTCTGAAGCCTGCCTTTCCCTGCTCCCCATCCTGGCTGCCTCCACATCATACACAGACCCCCACTCAGCCAGCTGAGGATGCCTGAGCACTCCGCCCCCTCCTAACATCAGACCGACAGACGCCCATGGCACACGGATCCTCGCGGCCGACAGGACCGCAAGCTCCTGGGCCTGCACTCAAGCTTCTAACTGCTTACAAGAACCAGTTATGTCTGTTCCCAAACCTGTTTAGCCAGAGGTACTCATAATTATAATGATATAATTTAATTAACTGTTACCTAAATGAACAAAATACCAGTGTGAAAAGAGTTGTCTCTATGAAAACTAGCTGAATGCTTTAAAAAGAGTCAATAAAAGGAAAGCTGCTAATTAAAGGGCTGTTGGATTCCCTAAAGACTGGCGGGGGGCAGGAGGGTCATGAAAGAAATTCAGAATTCTCCACCCGGAGTGCTTCCAAGGGCCTTTTAAAAATCTCACTCCACCGTAAAGAAACCACAACCAAAAATCATAAGCAAACTAGATGTGTGTGGTTTAGGCAAGAACAACAATAAGGAACTCCAATTAGCATTTCATAATAAAAAGAAAGGCCTTGGCAAAAAAAAGTGGGGAAGGGGGGAGAGGGTCAATTAATGCCCATTTATGTGTTTTAATTTAACATGAAATGCTCAGAATACGTATGGTGTTTCTGACTCTCCACACTATCCAACTTTTATGATTAACTGACCCACCACCGGCTCCAACAAGTCAGGGGAGAAGGTACCAGCCACCCTGCGATCCTAGCAAGCACTGATTGTCCCCGGGGACAGAGCAGTCACAAAGAAAGGAACTAGAAAGGGACAGAAGGGACAAGTTCCGTGGTGCTAAGTCATGACTCAAAAAGGAGGGGCCCTGCCTAGCTTTGGGTGGCAGCAGCAGGCGTGACGTGGGCCACGGAGTCATGTCTGGACCCCTGCCCACCATTTCTCCTCCTCGAGGGCATGGCAGCACCAGAGCTGAAGCCGGCATGGGTTAGGTCCAAATCATAGCCAGGTCATGAGCATGTGTTTTGTTCTGAGCCCTTTAAAGAAAACAAACACAGGGCTAAACATCTGTTTAACTGTGGACTCCTTATTGCTCTGTTTTTTGTGTTTTGTTTTTTAAATTTTATTGGGGAACAGCATGGTCATTGGTTACACATTGCTTTCATGCTACAATGGCATAGCTGACTCTTTTAGGGAGGGCGCAGCTCACAGTGGCCCATGCTGGGATCAAACCAGCAACCTTGGTGCTATCAGCACCACGCTCTAACCAACTGAGCTAACCGGTCACCCCTTATCACTCTGTTTTAGGCCTGGCTGAGGAAGGACAAAGAAAGATCGCCTTGAATTTCCTCCAGGCTGTGGGAAGGCAATGACACAACTATATCCTTTCCCTTTTATTTAATACCTTATTTTCTTTGATATAAAGGAGAAAAGTAAGGTGTTAGGACATAGTCATTAAGAGCTCAGGCTTTGGAGGCAAAATGGCCCAGGTTCTAATCCCCTCTCCTGCATGTAATCACTTAATAATCACTTAATAAGGCAAGTGCCTTAACTTCTGTGCACCTCTGTTCCTCATCTGTAAGGTACCACTGACCCAATGGTGTTTCAAGGATTAAATTCGGGGGAAGGGAGAGCTTGTCTTTGTGCCTGACATAGAGTAAAGCAATCAGGAGTAGCTATAATTATAATTATAAACTCATTGTAAGAAAACCCATAAAAAAATAAAAGCACAAAGAATAAAATTAAAGTTACCTGTTATTCCACTGCTCAATGCAATGAGAGTTAATATTCTCAATTATTTCCCTCCTCCTCTATTCTGTACTCATACAAGTTGATTTTATTTACACAAACGTCACTTCCTGCCTTTTCCCACTTAGCATTATGTTGTGAGTCCATTCCCATGGCCTTAATTGTTCTTCCAAAGTGTGATTTTATATCTTATGTCTCCACCAGAAGGGCTCGTTCCTAATTTTTTATTGTATTTTATTATAGTTTTTTATGTGTAATAAGTATCCTGATATATAAATTTTCGACCATGTCTCTGATTATTTCTGGTTCATAGGACACGAACTTTAGGATTCTTGACACCTACAGCCAAACCACTTTGCAGAAAAATGAGCTTGGTGACCACCCTGCATGTGAGAGCCCACACCCCACCTCACCTATACCACATGCCTTTTTCTTTTCTTTTATTGCCAATCCGAGACACGAAAATTGATGAAGGCCCATTTTCAAACTCAAAAGCCCTGTAAGGAACAAGCCATGCAAATCAGAGACCTCTCCACCTTTTGGTTTCTGTCCTGTGGCCCTGAGCACCCAAGACATGGCCCCTTAGATGGCCCCTGGGGCTTCCCTGATGGTCCCCTGGGCAACCAATGCTTCCTTAAGGCCACAGGAATCAATGAACAGTGGTTATGCCTGGAGCATGAGATTATAGGAAGATCTCACTTCCTCTGTACTGTGTGGATTTTTTGCTATAAAGTATTTTCAGGGGAAAAAACAAAGATAGCTGCATTTAGAAATGTGGGGTGAGGACACTCTCCCGCTTTCTCTGTGCCATGATCTCATAATGATGCTGTGACCACTTGCACAGCTGCAGCAGCTCCTGGGGGTGTGCAGTCCTGTCCCTGAGCACTCCCTCCGTGCCACCAGGCTCGGCCCGCATGTGTCCCCTCAGGCCCAGCCCTCTCCGCCTCCCTGAGACTGCACCCACGGATACTCACAGCCGCTCCAGCTCCTTCATGTCATCAAAAGCCCCTCGTTCCACCACTCCAATCTGGTTCTCCATCAGCTGCCTGGGGAAGCAAAGAGAAAAGGACAGCTACGGGATGTTGGACAAGGACACCTAGAAACAGCTGGCACGGGGAGTGAAGCAGGAGCAGTGCCCGACATGCATGCAGACTTTGAGTCCTGGCCTGAATCAACAAAATTGACTCACAACTTTGCAAATTCTCACCAGGGGCTCCTCAGCACGCTCAGCCCTGACAGCAAGATTCTTTTCCAGCCCCGGCCCCATGCTGGTTCCCCTGAAGCCACCTGTATGACAGAAGGCCACAGGGCACCAGAGCACCAGGTCATCACTCCCAAGGCATGCCCGGGGAAGCCCGGACCCCAGCAGCAAGCAACAGGGGCTGGCTCTGGGCTGCTGGCGCACGTGCCCTCCTTTGGCCCAGAGGGCATGTTTCCAAGGGGCAGAGCAAGGAGGATGGGCTAGTGGCGGCGGGTGGCGGGGGAGGGCCGCCTGTGCCAACTGGGCAAAGCCCACACAGGCAGCAAACATACTCTGCAGTTGGCAGACGACACCCCCTCCGCCAGTACTTCACTCCACCTGGCCCCATCTGCTGCCAGCTGAACCACCTGGCTCCATGGGACTCTGCACCTCCTCACTGCCAACGTGCACTGAAACCCAGAGTGTCCAGCTGGTGGGCAGCAGTTTTCACCAACAGATTGCCTATTGCATGATCATTTTTGCAGTTGTCAAGCATGTTTTTCTCCCTGCATTTTCCCCACTCCACTCTCAAGCAGGTGGCATATGTGCTCCCACATGGACCTCAGATGAGATTTGGGACAGGGCAGGGGGCACACTTCTTTTCCTTCACTTTGTTTCCAAAAGCCTACGCTATTGAGGAGCTCCCACTGGAGACCTGGGAGGGGAAGAGGGGACATGCCAGGAGGAGGGAGAGAGGGCTTCCTTAGGCTCGGAAGAGATTCCTGGAGCCTGGGACAGGACCAGAGGTCAGTGGGTTCTGGAGCAGCAGAGACCCCTTCCCAGCCATTGATAGCTCTGACCCCAGAGAGGGTCAGCCACAAGGTCCTCCAAAGCTGCAAAGCCAATGGTTCTGAAAGAACTAAGGCCCCAGGACGCTTGCACTACCCAGGAGGATGGGGTGAGGGACCCTATGATTGTCTGATGTTGACTATATCAGAATGCATGCATGTCAGACTGCCCTCTCCATCCCAAAGTCAGCAGAGAAGGAGCGATAAAGGAATAAACACACACACCCCTCACTCCTCACCCTTGCCCAGCCTGACAAAGGAGGTGCCACAAGTGGCTCCTTTGCTGGCTAGTGGCCACATTCAATAGAGCCATGCCCACCACCTTCAACATCTGCCGCTGTCAGGCGCTCCAGAGGGAAGTCACCTCTGTCCTCACCTGCTCCCTTACCTGCTCTCTAAAGTCAGGGGTAGCCCCTTGCTGGGGAGTCTTCTGGGGCACCAGTTCAAAAAGAGTTACGGAGACTGCTATAGACTGAATTGCGTACCCCTCAAAATTCGTGTTGAAAACCTAGCCCCCAATGTGACTGTATTTGGAGATCAGGCCTTTAGGGAGGCAATTAAGTTTAAACGAGGTCATAAGGATGGCGCCCTAATCTGATAGGGCTGGTGTCTTGATAAGAAGAGATACCAGAGTCTCTTTCTGAGCCCACGCAGAGGAAAGGCCATATGAGGACTCAGCAAGAAGGTGGCCAGGAAGGGAGACCTCACTACAAACCAACCCTGATGGCACCTCAATCTTAGACTTTTAGCCTCCAGAACTTCTGTTGTTTAAGCCACCCAGTCTCTGGTATTTTGTTACAGCTGCCTAAGCAGACTAAGACAGAGGCCTAAAGATTTCTCATGGTCACTTGGTCTTCCCTCACCCCAGGAGGCAACCTGTAGATGAGACAGCCCCATCTGCCTGGCACAGGTCCTGCCAGGCGGCGACCACGGGTAACTGTGCCTTGCCCAATTTTTCAGCCATGCGGGAGAACTGACGGCTCCGGGTCAGGACTCACCATCACTTCCACCCCACCCACCTCAGGGTGTCCCACGACTGACTCCACAGGGAGTCCTACAACCCTACAACCCACAGCCAGGGACCCACAAGGCCATTGCTGAGGGTCAGGAGCAGGAAGAGGTTATGAGTGGGGGGGACAGCACCCCATACTCACAGCACCCGCAGCTGCTTGAGCCCCGCAAAGTCGTTCTTATGGATCCGAGTGATGTTGTTGCCATTAAGTTCCCTGGTGGATAAAAGGAGAGAGGAAGTGGTGAGATGTGCACGCTGGGCCCCCAGGCCAGGGGCTCAGCTCCGGGCTCTGTCTCCACCTGGCTCAAACCTGTCATCTGACCAACGGGGCTGAGTGTGTCCCAGCTAAGCCTCAAGACCCCCAAGAGGCCCCCAAGGGCCTCTTTGCAGCAGATGTCCCCCCAGCCGGAGCACACCGGGCACGGCTCACTGCTGGGAGTGCTACAAAACCCAACACGGGGTTTTGACCCTGACTGAGCTCAGTCTCGTTGGAGAGATGAGACATTCACACAGGAAAGATTTTAGAAATGAGCCAATTAGAGGCTATTCAGGTGGAATCCTTGCTAAGCCTCAGTTTCCTCATCTATAAAATGGGGGTAATAACTGTGTCTGCCTCATAAAATTCTAATGAGGCATAAACAAGTAAGCAGCACGGCCTGCGGTTGGAAAGGGCCCCTTTGGGGACACCAATGTTATTATCTGGTGGCGCTGGTTCCTACAAGCCGTCCATCTTCTGAACAGGAGACAGCAGGGTGGGCCATGCCTTTTATGAGGACTGAGGAAGGGGGGCTCAAGCTGAGGCCTAAAGGACAGGGCAGATCTGCTCAGTAAGAAGTACAGAGCAGACAGACATTCCAGGGAAGGAGAACGCCCGGAGTATCGGGGGGAGCTGGGTAGGACACAGGCTGAGGGTAGGGGTGAGGGGGCAGGTGGGGGAAGGGAGAGCCAATCACAGAGGGCCTGAGAAACAAGCAGAGGACAGACAGGAAGCCAGTGAGGCCTCCAGACCTGGTCCCGCCTGACAAGCCATCTGGCCCCACCTCCCCACCCAGCCTCCCAGGGAAGCTCTCTAGGCTTTGAGGGGCCACTCCCGTTCACAGGGAGCCAGTGTAGCCTCAGGAAGGCAAGCTCCTCCTGAGTCAGACACTCCACTCCCAAGTCAGACACTCCACTCCCAAGAAAGTTCTTCCACTGAACCACACGCAGCAGAATCTCACTTGGACCTCACTCCAAACCCAGCTGTCCACGCCACATCTAACCCGTCTCCCTGTGGCAGCTCCAAGTTTACAGCCTCTATGCTTCCCCCTCTTTCTCTCCACTGTCACAGTCACCCACATGCTTGGCAACAACCTAACTGCCCCCATCTCTCCCTCTCTCCCCCCCCCCTCTCTCTCTCTCACACACACACACACACACACACACACCACGGTCACCTGCAACCCAGTCTCCTCACTTACCAAATCCAAGCTACTTTGAAAAACAGCACGTTCCCTTTCCTAAAACTGTTTATGAAGTGTGTTTGGCCTGGATGACGTTCTAGAATTGCATCCACTAAGAACAACATGTTAGTTTCCAGAAACAGCTTTGTGCACATTCTCACATCAGGCTGGAAAGTAGTTACTGTGCCCATCTTACAGATGAGGGCAGAGTAGCTCAAAGAAGCTAGGTGCCTTCCTGGGGTCACCAGCTGGTACATGACAGAGCAGGGATCTGGACTGCGGCCGTCTCATCCCAGAGCCCAGGCTTCTTCTGTCAGGCCAAGCTGCCTCCCCAAGTTGACAAGCCAATAATTTACTCAACTCATCACTCTCTCTGCCCTTCCCCTGCCCCTGGCTCCTGATCCTTAGGAGCAGCTGGAAAAACTCATTCCCTGCTCCTCATGTCCTTTCTAACAGAGTCTCATAAGGGGCTCAAGGCCTCTCCAAGGTAACGGGGCCATTGGTGAGAGCTCCAGACTGAGCCACCTGCCACCCCAAATGCTGAGAGGACGCCTTCTCCCTGCGAGACGGGCTCTTTCCAATGGAAAGGTATTTTTATATTGAACTAAATATTCTCCCCTGAAACAGCCACCTCTGAACCTCACTTGTGCAGCTCCCCAGTCTGCTCCTTCCGCAATGTAACTGGAGCCATCTTACTGAAACTTTCATCCCCAAACCCAAAACCACAGGAATTTTTGGTTGTTTTAATTTTTTGATTACAAAGATATGTCTGCACTGATTCTAAGAGCAAAATGTTCAACTTAAATGGACATCGACAGAGCAATGCCTAGATGACTTTCAGCACATCCGTGAAACCAAATACTATGCAGCCTGTTAAATGGTACAGGTCAGTTTATATCGACAAGGAAAGCTGTCCGCGCTATAGCATATGGGGAAAGGGTTACGAGACACTTGTGCTCTATGAGCCCTCTTCTGTGAAAACTCACACGCGCAATGACACAGGCATATGTGCAGGATGAGCTGGCTGGAGGCTGTCTGCCTGTAGCTGCGGCATGGTGAGACTCGAGCTGACTTCAGGTTCTTTTTTATCCTTTCCTGCACTGTTTGAATTTTTTAGAAAGGCATCTATATTTGTATAAGCCACCATTAATATTCAAGTTATTGCATTTAAAAGTAAGAGTCATATATGCATATTATTGAATTTTGTTCATTTCCTAAAGACTCAAGGTAAAAATTAAAAGCATACATAAACTCATCACCCAGAAGTGACCCACGTTACCATTCTGGAGTATTTTCTCCCATGCCTGTTTCCTTTGGCTATAGTTTGCATACAGCTGAGATAATTCAAAAAATACTTTTTGAAGACTTCACTATTTGTGAAGCGTTCTGCAAGGTTTTGAGGGCACGAGGATGCATGACACGTAAATGGTATGCACTCCTACGATGTCACACCTTGTTTTTTCCCCACTTATGGTTCTGACTGGCCGTGAAGTGTCCCTTCATTTGGATAGATCAAGTTCCTCAGGTGTTCCCGGATTCCCTCTTACTGGAACACCTGGGCTGTTTTTGATATTCTTCCATTATAAACAGTACTGCATAAAGTTTGTGGGCATCTGGGAGAAATACATTCCTAGACATAGAATTACTCAATCAAACATCATGAAAAAGCGGATGGATTTTACAATCATTGGCTCATTCCTTCTCATGGCAACCATGAGAACAAAACCATGACTACAATAATTATTCATTTCACAGACAGCAAAACAGAGGCAAAGACAAACGCTAAGACTTGTCTGAACAAGGCACAGCCCAACATGGAGCTCAGGAAACCCTGAGGACGGGATTCCCATCAGGTGGGCAGGGGGCGGGTAGAGAGCTCACAGGGACTTGTGATGACATTTCACATTTACATGCCCCTCTTCTTAACCTTTTGCACCCGACCCCACTGTGCAGACTCCGGGATGCATTTTTTTAGCCCACCATCAGTTCTGCACCCCACTCCACCCCCACTTGAGAAAAGACATGGGACAGGCAAAGCAGAAGAGGACAATGGGCAGACAGCAGAGCAAACACAGCCTCTCTGGGAGGCCCTGCTGGTGGCTTCCGGGCAAGAATGTCCATGGAAGCCCAAGCCCCCCAATCTCCCCCCATCAGCCTCGCTCTCTAACTCCAGAGCTGAGTGTCTCCTCTCAGGGGAGAGCCCTCCGGAAGGCAGCCTGCAAGGCAGAGGCAGCTCTCATTAGGCTCCCAGGTCCGAGGGCTGCTGCTTGAGGAGGCATTATCACCACTTAGGCTGAGAAAATGACCTCCACTGGGTAGCCTGCTCTCTCCCCTTCAGCAGGGCGGCCCACCAGGATCTAGTTTCCAACCTGGGCCAGCCACTTCCCCTCAAACCCTCAGCAGAGGTGAGGAGGAATGGAGCAAGGAGGTTGTTTTTCTCCAGCGCCTGATTCCTCCAACAGGTGGTCCTTGAGTGTTGCCATGGCTCCCCAAGAAGCTGCCTGGGGAAAACGGAAGAAGCTGCTGCGACCTTAAGACCTTTGCAGCCAGAGTATCCGAGTGGGGTGGGCCCTCTGTGGCAGTTCTTTCTCAGGAAGAACCCCAGATCCAGAGCTACCCTGGGCTCTTGCCGCCAGAGCTCACGTCCACCACTTCTGATTGGCACCTCCTGTGTGCAGACTCTGAGCCTAACTAACGCCAAGCATGCTTCATGTCATTTCACCCTCACAGTAACCCACAAGGTGAGCCACGTTCTCTCCATCTCGCTGATAAGGAAACTAAGGCACAGATTGGCTAGTCCATTTGTCCAGCACCACACAGCCAATAAGTGGAGGGGCCAGGGTCAAACCCAAGCCAGTGTGAGTCCATGTTCTTTCCCCTACCTCATGATCCCTCATGTTGATGGATATGAGCTGAGAAACAAGTTGGAGGCTTAGGATAGGAAACTCTGAGGGCCTGTAATAAGACCATGTGTTCAGCCTAAGCGGCAAGATCAGGGAGCTCCCCACTTGCCTGAGCTAAGGGTATTCTTAGGGGCTAAGAGCTTGGGCTTTGGAGCCAAACTGCCCGGATTCAAATTCCTACACCACCATTACTAGCTGTGTGACCTTAGACACGTAGCTTACCTTCTCTGTGCCTCAGTGTCCCTATTTATAAAATGAGGATAACAAGTGTGCCCACCTTCTAGAGATGTGATGAGGTTTAAATGACTTAATATTTCTAAAGCACCAAGAGCAGTGCTCTCTGTATCAGTATTACCTGCTGCGATTATGTTCACTATGAGTACTATTATTGTTGTTTTCCTCAAGGACCATGGCTGCACCAGGAGAGTGGTGCCAGAGGCTCAATTCGGACTGGTACTGGACTGGCAGGGCCATGCTGGAGAGGAAGGGGCCAACTCTCAGGCCCTACAGGGCTCAGGACACCAAGGCCCAGGGAAGATGCCCTAAGATGGTTCTCTCTCTTCCAAAAGTGATGGGTCTGTACCCATCCTTGTCCCCCAGAAGGAAATACACTCGGGTGGCAAATAGCCCTGATTTCCATCACTTCCTGTGTGGTCCTCACCTAAAAGGAAAACCTCGGTAGTAAAAGATTTGGGAGAAAATCCTCTGCAGCAAAGTTACTGAGGACAAAACAAAACACACAGGATTTCTTGAATCCTCTCAGGAAACAAGAATCTGATCCCCAGCATCTGGGTGTTTGTGATAAACCAAAAAAACCCCTCGGATTTCCTAGAGCTGCAGGAATAAACACCCTGGGCCCCTTGCAGGGTGTT